TTTGTACACCAGCAATGGAATAGAAGAAGAAGAAATCAGAAAAAAATACCATTCGATATAACAACAAGAAAAATAAAGTACCTAGGCATAAATTTAACTAATGAGGTAAAAGACCTGTATGCAGAAACCTATACAACATTGAAGAAAGAAATTAAGGAAGACACAAATAAATGGAAGCATAAACCATGCTCATGGATTGGAAGAATTAATACCATCAAAATGTCCATACTACCCAAAGCAGTTTACAGATTCAACGCAATCCCTATTAAGATACCAATGACATATTTCAAAGAAATAGAACAGACATTTCAAAAATTCATATGGAACCATAAACAATCCCAAAAAGCCACAGCAATTTTGAGAAAGAAAAACAAAGTAGGAGGGATCACATAACCGGACATCAATCTATATTACAAGCTACTACACTCAATACAATCTGGTACTGGCACAAGAACAGATCCATGGACCAGTGGAACAGAATAGAAAGTCCAGATATAAGCCCAGGTCTCCATAGGCATCTAATATTTGACAAAGGGGGCAGAAGCATAAAATGGAGCAATAATAGCCTCTTCAACAAATGGTGTTGGGAGAGCTGGACAGCTACATGCAAAATATTGAAATTGGATCATCAGCTGACACCATGCACAAAAATAAACTCAAGATGGATAAAGACTTAAATATAAGTCGCAACACCATCAAAGTCCTAGAGGAGAACTTTGGCAGAAAACTCTCAGATATCCCACACAGCAATTTTTTCACTGATATGTCTCGTAAGCAAGGGACATAAAGGAAAGAATAAACAAGTGGGACCTCATCAAAAAAAGAAGCTTCTGTACGGCTACAGAAAACATCAGCAGAATGAAAAGGGAGCCAACCGTTTGGGAAAATATATTCACTGATGATACATCAGATAGAGGTTTGATCTCCAATATACATAGAGAACTCACTCGACTCCACTCCAAGAAGACAAACGATCCAATCAAAAAATCGGCGAAGGACCTGGGCAGACGCTTTTCCAAGGAGGAAGTACAGAGGGCCCAGAGACATTTGAAAGGATGCTCGGCATCACTAGCCATCAGAGAAATGCAGATCAAAACCACCATGAGGTACCACCTCACACCGGTCAGAATGGCCACCATAAAGAGATCAACCAATGACAGGTGCTGGTGAGGCTGTGGTGAAAAGGGAACACTAGTACACTGCTGGTGGGGATGCAGACTGGTGCAGCCACTGTCAAAAGCAGTGTGGAATGTCCTCAAAAACCTGAAAATGGAACTGCCTTTTGATTCTGTGATTCCTCTGCTGGACTGTACCCTAAGAATCCCAAAATGCCAATTCAAAAGAACCTATGCACCTCAATGTTCATAGCAGCAAAATTGACAATAGCCAAGTGTTGGAAGCAACCTAAAGCCCATCAGTCGATGATTGGATCAAAAAATAATTGTACATTTACACAATGGAATACTACGCAGCTAAAAGAAAAAAAGAACTACTAAACTTCGCAACAGCATGTATGGAATTCGAGAGCATTATGCTAAGTGAAATAAGCCAGGGGGCGAAAGGCAAATACCATATGATCTCACCTATAAGTGGAACCTAACCAACACTACAAAGATGCAAGGAAAATAAGACCAGCAACACTGGAAGGAAAAGAAACCAACAGAGACAAGAGGGAGGGAGGGAGGGGGGCGGGGAAAAGGAAGGGAAGCGGAAGTCAATGAACATATAGCAAGGACTCATGGACAAAACCTAAGGGGAAGAGCTGAGGGAGGGAGGGGGCAAGGGAAAGTGGTGGGCTGAAGTCAGAGATGAATGTATTTGAAAAAAATAAATAATTAGTTAATTAAAAAATACTTAAATTAGTCTCCAATACCTAGGAATTCCTTTATCCTTTAGAATACATATATCTAAATTATCCACAAAACTGCATCCTAAAATAATGTATCTATATGCTTAATGTTTTTTCATTGATTCTGTCATTAGTTTTCTCCATAGCAAAATGAACTTGTTTTTAATTTCCTGTAAAATAAATACAACTAAACTAATACAGTATTATATATTATATACATCTCTTTTTAAAATAAAAATAATTAAGAAGGTACATACATAGACCAATGAAACAGAATTGAGAGCTCAGAAATAAACTCTTGCACATATAGCAAAATGTTTTGACATGGGTGTCAACACAACAAAATGGCAAAGAACAATCTCTTCAATGAAAAGTGCTAGGAAAACTGGATATCCACATGCAATAGAATAAAGATGGAAACTTCCATTAAAATAGGTACCATAATTGACTCAGAATGAATCCATAACCTAAATGTAAGACCTAAACCTATTATAGTCCTAAAAGGAAACATAAGGGAAAAGCTTTAGGACACTGATTCTGGCAATGATTTTTTTAAAATGACACTAAAAGTCCAGGCATAACAAAAGGTGGGGACAGCTGTAATAGCATAAACAATAAAATAATTTTTAAAAGGCAAAAATAAGCAAATAAGACTACATCAAACTAAAAAGATACTGTACAATACACAAAACACTCAATGAAATGAAAAGGCAATCTATTGATTGGAAGAAAATATTTGCAAACCATTTATTTATGAGATTAGTATTCAAAACATATAAGAAACTCATACAATTCCATAGCAAGAAAATAAATAAATAAATAACCTGATTACAATAGGCAAAGAAATAGGCAAATACAAATTTTTCCAAAAAAGACATACAGATGGCCAAGAGGTACATAAAAAGTTGCTCAACATCAGTAATCATCAAGGAAATACAAATCAAAACCACACCTGTTAGAATGGCTATTATCAAAGAAAGAGAGAGAGAACATGTTGGTGAGAAAGTAAAGAGAGAACCTGTTGGTAAATTGGTACAGCCACTATGAAAAACCATACAGAGGTTCTTCAAGAATTTCAAAATATTATAGATCTAGCAATCCCACCTCAGGTATATATCCAAAGAAAACAAAACCAGTATTACAAAGAGTTATCTATCTGCACTCCCATGGTCACTGCAACATTATTCACGATGGCCAAAATATGGAACAACTTAAGTGTCCATCGATGGATGAATGGATAAAGAAGTGTGATACATATGCAGTCTGTCCATAAAGTATCCAGCCACAACCCCATGAGACATAGGGACATTCATTGAAGAAGACACAATAACCACTGTACATAGGACAATGATGCCTCAGTCCCCTTCAAAGGAGGCACTTTGGGATCTCACATAGTTCTCTCAATTGCCATCAGCTGCCCTGTATTATTTTCCTGAAACTCAGTGATGGTCTGAAATCTCTTCCCTTGCAAAGGTGAGTTTAGTTTTGGGAAAAGCCAGAAATCACAGGGCACCAAATCTGGCCTGTAGCAGGCCTGATTCACCTGGGTGATTTGATGTTTCACCAAAAAACTCTGCACCAGATGTGAAGAGCAGGTACATTGTCTTGATGAAGCTGCCAATCACCAGTTGCCCATAGCTGTGGCCTTCTTGATCATCTGAATAGTTTCTGCAGAGGAATGTTCAAGCTTAATGCAAAATTTGATGCAGATTCATTGCTCTACTAGCTCAGTCATTTTGAATGTGATGGCCACACAGTGCACATGCTCACTCAACACCACTGTCAAATGCCCCCACTGACTAGCACAGTGAATTTGCCATTGTTCACACATGTGCACTCCTTGTGAGTGAGCAAGGAGAAGCTCACTCCCCTTGGCTGCCAGGTTACATTGAGGTTGTGCAAACCATTCTTGCTACATTATCAATAGTTGGGCTTTTTCCAGAAAGACCTTGTATATACAATGCAATATTACTCAGTTATAAAAAAATAAATAAATCTTGCCATTTGTGACAACATGAATAAATATGGAAAACATGTTAAGTGAAATAAGCCAGAAACAGAAAGACAAATATGGCATGATCTCACTTATATGTGCAACCTAAAAAGAAAAACAAAGGAAGAAAAAAAGCCAAACTCATAGTAACAGATTGTAGAATGGTAGTTACTGGTGGCCAGTAGGAGGAGGTCATAGGGATTTCTTTATTGTTTAATGAGTACAGAGTTTCAGTTCTACAAGATGAAGAGTTCTAATAACTGGCAGTGATGTTTGCACAATATAAATGTGCTTAATATCACTGAACTGTATTCTTAAAAATGGTTAAGACAGTTTATGTTATGTGTATTTTATAAATAAATAAACCACAATAATGATTGAAAAAAAGTATCTATAAATGTACATGTAAATGTGTATACACATATACATGCATATATGTGTATATATATATATTGCAAAACACTAAAAATATATTCTAAAATATTAATGATGCTTGTATATTAGAGTGAGATTACATGTAATTTATTTTCCTTTGTATTTTTTTCACTTTTTCAAATATTCTGCAAAAATACTTTTATAATCATATAAAACACATTTTTCAAAACAAAAAATAGTGTATAACCAAATAGTATGTAAAATATAGTTTTATTTTTAAAGAAATACATATATATATATATAACTATGGAAAACCAGGAAGATAAACAAATATGAGTACAAGGTTTGGTTATCTTTGGGAAGTAAAATTATAGGAATTTTCATTTTCTTTCTTTTGCATGCCTTTATTTTCATTAATTATGTTACTTTTATAATATTAATGTATAAAAAACACAATAAAGTATAAATACTACATATATAAAAATACTAATGACCCAGTCAATGTTTTACTTAAAGGAAAACTCACAGATCTAAACGCATATATTAAAATAAGGAAAAATAAATAATGCTTTCTAATTCTCTTCAGAACTACTTAAGGCATTGTATCTAGACTAATAATGCTAATTGGATAATCACATTAAGTCAAATAACCAATATAACTTTAAATATTTTATTACTAAAATTATTCTTAATAATAATGTTTTATTGATATTATTGATTAACTTTAAAATATTAAAATAGTAAGCAATATTTTATACTTAGTAGTTTACAAAGAATACATACATGACGTTCCTCTCTAACTGCTTCTTCTAACTGAGTTGCAAATTGTGAACATACCATGAATGAATTCAGATCATCCCTGACCTTTGAAAAGAATAACAAAACAGAAAGTTGCCTTTGTTTCAGAATCTATATGTATATTCATTTAGATTTTAGTATATTTAACTAGTTTTGAAAATAATTTTGTGTATGTAACTTATCATATTTTGCCACGTATAATGCATATTTTTTGCCCAAATTTTTTGGGAGAAAATAAGGATGTGCATTTTACATGGGTAGTACTTGAAATACCTTGTATCTGTTATTGTTTTGTAACTATTTGTTACATAAAATTTCTTGTACCATAATGTGTTCAAAAATAAATGCTAAAATTCCTTTATAATACAAAAACCAAATATCTAAATATAAATAAAGAAACAAACAAACCAATAAATAATAGAATTAAAAATTTTTAATGGAAGATTTTTTTCCTGAAACTTTGGACCAAAAATGTGAGTGCACATTATACATGGGAGAGCATTTTACACAGCAAAATACAGTATATTCATTCAAACATATAAGACAAGAAACCATGCTCCAAATTCTGTACTAGAAAATTCTCCCAGAAAGAAAATGTAGAAGTACATTCCAAGAGTGGCTCATTAATGGCATAGTTGCAGAAAATCAAGCACCCCAGCCTTAAATTCCTAAAATATGGGTGGCCACAAAAAAGTAACCACTATGTGTATACCTTATAAATATCTCTTTGTGTTACAAATGAACACTAATTATGACTTCTGGCTATAGGATATATTTGCCAAGAGCTGTAGTCTTTCACCTTCACTTAATAGTCAAAAGAAAACTTTGAGAAAATAATAGTTCCAGATTAAATGTTACAATGCGGAGACACAACATGGCAGAGGAGTAAGTGGAAACTGCACAAATCTCCTCCCAGAACCAAACTGGAATTACAGCTAAATTATAGAGAAATCATTCTGAATAACCAACTGAACACTAGCTGGAGAGAAGCCTTATAGCTAAGGACAAACACAAGAAATCATTTCACTACATGACTGGTGGGGAGGGAGGAGGAGACACAAGAGGACTGGTTGGCTCCAACAGGGAGGGGAGGGTCTACTGAAGTTCCAGAGGGATATTTCAGCAGCCAGGGATTCCATCGAGAAGTGTGGGGTCTAAACCCCAAGAAGAGCTGCAGCACCAGAGCTGGGAGTGGAACTCAGATAACATCCAGCTGTGAAAAGCAGTGGGATTTCCGTCCACTGGGGAGAGATACTAGAGAACAGAGAACCTCCTTAAAAGGCCAATGTACAAAATTCTGTTTGCAGCCACTTACCTTATGCTCTGACACAAGGAGGACACGGTGGACTAGAGACATATGATGAGACTATGTGGCTGGTGAGTCTAGGGAAGAGAGCTGAAAGAACAGCTGCCAGAATCCCTGTGCTGAGTCATTCCTCATACTCCAGAGGCCATCTTTCTCAGGCAGGCTACTCCTCTCCAAATGGCATCAGACTGAGGGGAAGCAGTAGCCCTGCCCACTGGAATTACTTAGCCCCACACTGTGGAGCTTAATCCAGGCTGCTGAGTACAGCTTGAGGCTACATCAGTGATTAAGTTTAACATGTAACGCAGATCTCTGTAGGCTCTGAGACATTAGCTGACCCTCGCCCAGGTGTGTGCCAGTAGAAGCTAATTTTGTTGTGCAGGCTGGTTATTTTTGCACACAGCTAGGCCCAAAACAGGGGACCACAAGCTGTGGATTGCTGACACCTCTAAGTAGATTTCCAGGGCATGTCATAGGCAGTGACTGACACAGGGCTGCACCAGAGCCTTTTCATATATACTTATACATAGAAACAAACACCAGGAGGCAGCCAAATGGGAAGACAAAAAAGAGGCGCAAAATGTGAAAAGAGAAGAATCTACCAAAAGAATAACTAAATGAAACAGAGGCAAGCAATTTATCAGTCAGGGAGTTTAGAGTAGTGATTATAAGGATACTCAACAGAATGAAAAAAGACATAGAAACAATAAAAAAGAACAACCAGAAATAAAGAATGCAAAGTCTGAAATAAATAATACATTGGAAGGAATAAATAGGAGGTTAGAGGAAGCAGAATCAAATCAGTGATTTGGAAGAGGTAAAATAAAACACCCAAACAGCACAGTGAAAAAAAAAAAAGAATTAAAAAGAATGAGGAGAGCTTAAGAATCCTTTGGAACACCATGAAACATAACATCTGCATCATGGGAATATCAGAGAAGAAAGTGAGCAAGGGATCAAGAACCTACTTGAAGAAATAATAACCAAAAACTTCCCTAGTCTGGTGAAAGAAAAAGACACACAAGTCCAAAAACTGCAGAGTTCCAAGCAAGATGGACCCAAAGATGACTACATGAAAACACATCATAATTAAAATGGCAAAACATAAAGACAAGGAGAGAATACTACAAGCTGCAAGAGAAAAGAATGTAGTTACCTACAAGGGAGCTCCAATTAGACTGCCATCTGATTTTTCAACAGAAAGATTTCCGGCCATAAGGTATTAACATGAGATATTCAAAGTGATGAAAAAGAAGGACCTACAACCAATGCTACTTTACCCAGAAGACTATCATTTAAAAATGAAGGAGAAATAAAGAGCTCCCAAGACAAGAAAAAGCCAAAGGAGTTTGTTAACACCAAACCAGTACCGTAACAAATGTGAAAGGTTGCTTTAAAGAGAGAAGAAAAAGAAAAACAGGAATATAGTTTAAAAATAAAATGACAACAAATCTGTATCTATCAATAATCACTTTAAATGTATATGGCTTGAATGCTACAACCAAAAAACATGGATAAGAATGGATAAGAAAACAAGACCCATATATATGCTGTCTCCAAGAGACACACCTCAGGTCAAAAGATACACACAGACTAAAAGTAAAGGAATGGAGAAATATATTTGATGCAAATGAAAAGGGAAAAAAGCTGGGGTAACAATACTTATATCTGAAAAAATAGACTTTAAAACCAAGGCTACAGTAAGAGACAGAAAAACATTACATAATGATAAAAGGAACAATCCAACCCTAGAGGATATAACCCTAGAAACCATTTATGCGCCCAACACAGAAGCATCTAAATAAGTAAAACATATCTTTATGGAAATTAGGAGAGATCAACAGAAATACAGACATAGTGGGGGATTTTAACACCCCAATGATTTCAATGGATATATCTCCCAGGCAGAAAATGAACAAGGAGACAGTGGCCTTCAACAACACACTAGATCAAATGGATATAATTGATATCTTCAAAACATTTAATCCCAAAACAGCAGAATATACATGTTTTTCAAGTGCACATGGAACATTTTCTAGGATAAACCACGTTAGGACATAAAACAAGTCTCAAAAAATTTAAGAAGACAAATCATATCAAGCATCCTCTCTGACTACAATGGTATGAAACTAGAAATCAATCATAAGAAGAATACTGAAAAACACAAGGCATGGAAGCTAAATAACATGTTATTAAACAATGAATGGGTCAGCAACAAGATCAAGGAAGGAATCAAAAAATACTTTGAAACAAATAAAAATGAGAACAAAACAACCCAAAATCTGTGGGACACAGGGAAAGCAATCCTAAGAGGGATATTCATAGCATTACCATCCTATCTCAAAAAACAAGAGAAAACTCAAACAAATAACTGACTCTACACTTAAAGGAACATGAAAAACAACAATAAACAAAGCCCAAAGTGAGTAGAAGGAAGGCAATAATTAGGATCAGAGCAGAAATACAACAAATAGAGATTTTTAAAAAATGATATAAAAGATCAACAAATCCAAGAGCTGGTTCTTTGAAAAGATAAACAATATTGACAAACATTTAACCAGACTCATCAAGAAAAAAGAGAGCCCAAATAAAATAAAATCAGAAATGAAAGAGAAGAAATAACAAATGACAACAACGAAATACAATGGATTGTAAGAAAATATTATGAACTATATGCCAAAAAACTGGACAACCTGGCTGAAATGGATACATTCCTAGAAACATACATTCTTCCAAAAACTAAATCAGAAAGACTCAAAGTATCTGAAGACAGACTACACCCAGTGAAATTGAAGCAGCCATTAAAAAACAAACAAACAAACAAAAAAACAAAAAAACTCCCAACAAACAAAAGGCCTGGACCAGATGCCTTGACAAGTTAATTTTACCAAACATTACAGAAAGACTAATACCTCTCCTTTTCAAAGTACTTCAAAATATTCAAGAGGAGGGAAAGCTCCCAAGTTCATTTTACAAGACCAGCATTATGCTAATTTCAAAACCAGATAAAGACACTACAGAAAAACAGAAATTAGGGAGATCCAAGATGGTGAAGGAGTAAGTAGAAGCTACACTAACATCCTCCATGGACCAATCTGGAATTACAACTAAATAGAGGAGAAATCATCCAGAATAAACAACTGAACAATAGCGGGAGAAAAGCCTTATAACCACGGACAGGCAGAAGAAACAGCTTCAAGAGAAATCAAGATGGCAGAGGAATGAATGCAAGTCACACTGACCTCCTTCCAGAACAAACCTGGACTTAAAATTATATTGTGGAGAAATCACCTGTAACAAACAACTAACAATAGGGAAAGACGAGCCTTATAGCCTAGGACAGAAAGAAGAATCAACTTTAGCACAAGCTAACTAGTAAGGAGTGAAATAGAGACTCAAGAAGGTGGGCGGGGCACCCAGGGGCAGCAGCACCAGAAAGATATTGAAACAGCCAGTAGGATTGTCCTGAGAAGAGTGGGGTCTAAACAGTAAGTGAGAATCTCCAGCCTACAGCACCAGAGCCACAAAAAAACACAGATAACAGCCAGCTGTGAAAAGCTATAGGGTTTCTCTCTGCCAGAGAAGGGTGGCTAGAGACACAAATAGCCTTTTAAAGGGCCAATGCATAAATTTAAAGTTGCAGCTACTTACCCTCGTCTCTGGCAAAGGCAAGGACAGAGGGGGCTTGAGATGCCTGAAGAGAGACTGGGGACAGAAGCTTTGGGGAGAGAACAAAGAAAAGAGCTGGTGGGATCCCAGT